ACCCTCTTGGAAAAGTAAAAGAAAAGATTCTTTCATTATTTTACAAACCCTCCCCCAGGTCCACTCCACCATGTAGCCATCGCTCTAGACTCCTGTCATTCTAACTTCTACTGTCTGGAGCTTAATCTTGAGGCCAATACTACCCTATTGATCTTGTATGATTGATTGTTCTAAGGACTGATTATTATCCTGACATTACTATTAACCTTATAGATCTATTGTTTAGTTGAAAGTTGTGCCACGAGGTAAGTTAATTTCCAGGCTCAAAGGGTAGCTACGGGCCATTAGTCTCAAGGACTTTGCAGTTCCTATCAGACCAGTAACCTGGCCACTTTTATTATTTCGAGATTTCTTCTATATTTATCTCTCTCTCTCTCTCTCTCCCAAGGGTTCTTCTTCTTTTTTTTAATTTAAATTTTTTTAACTTTTATTAATTTTAATGAACTTTAACAGAGATTTTGGATATTCCCAGAGTTCTTTTTATCTCTCCATCGAGGATTCTTTAAATTGACAGACATCTTTACTAGTTAGTTTGGAGAGGACCTTGACAGCAGATTTCCCATGTGTCACATGACTTTTGCTTTGTTGACTGCTGGCACCTAGTCTTTAAGTTTTATTAACACAATTAAGGGTGTTAATTGTGGATCCAATAAAACAAAATCATTGACAACATCAGTGTTTTTCCACCAGTCACTATGTTTTCTATTGGTCCAATGGTGAAGGTTTTTGTTCTCTTGGTGCTGAGATGTAAACCATTGTGCTAGAGGGTAAGGCTGTCAGTTTAAAGAATGAGGTACAAAAAACCCCAAGGTGCATCTGACCTAATCCATAGCTTTTTAAAAAAATAATTTTCTAATATTTCTTTAATTGTCTAATATTCCTTACAACCTTTTCTTTTTTTGCTGAAGATATTTTTTAACTGATATTTTAATTAAAGTTTACAGAAAACTTAGATTTCCATTAATTCATTGTTGTACATTTTCCTCCCTACCCCCACCTCCTCAGTTTAAATTGCTTCCTATGTCTTCAAAAGTTAGACAATGGATAATGTGGCAGAAGAAGAATCAGTGCCTTTGAATTATAGTGTTGGAGATATGTACTGGATATTTCGTGGACTGCCAAAAGAACAAACAACTCTGTCTTGGAGGAACAAAGAAATGAGAAGATAATAAAGACCCATGAAAACAGTTGCTCCATAGCATAAATACACTTTGGAAAGATCAACTTTCATGACTCTGAGACCAGAAGGACTAGATGGTGCTCAGACACCACTGCTGATCCCTCTGAAAGGCTCACAGTTTGAATCCTGGCTGATGTTGTGGTGTTGATAGGTGACAATCCCCTTTGTGGAGAGCAGAACTCTCTCCCATAGGCTTCTCAAAATTTTGATCTTTGGGAAGAAAAGAGCCTTTCTTCCAAGGCACCTTTGGGTGGGCTCAAACCACTAACCTTCTGGTCAAGTGCCCATTTTCAGCACTCATGGAATACTTATCACTCATTAAATATAGCAAAAGTAATTTACAGCATTGTTGTTGTTTTTATGAGCTGTTGGGTGGTTTGCAACTCATAGCGACCCTGTGTACAACAGCCCTGAAACCTGCTCTATACTGTGCCAACTTTACTGTCCCTGACACATCTATACTCATTACCCTTGTCACTATATCAATCTGTTTCATCAGTGATCTCTCTCTCTTTCTCCGTCCCTCCACCCTTCTAAGCACTAGGTCCCTCTCCAAAGACCGGTCCCTCCTTGCAACATACCCAAAGTATGCAAGACAAAGCCTCAGAATCCTTGCCACCAAGAAGCAGCCTGGTTTCACCCTGTCTAGAATGAATCTGTTTGCTCTCCTAGCAGTCCATGATACATTCAACACTCTTCTGTAGCACCACAGCTCCAAGGCATCAATTCTCCTTTTATCATCCCTAGTCATTGTCCAGATCTCTGATGCATAGCAAACAATTGCAAAGGCTATGGCCTGGATCAGGTGAATTTTAGTCTCCAGACTGACATCATTGTTCTTCAATACTCTGGAGAGGTCCCTGACAGCCGATTTTCCCAATGCAATTTGCCTCTTGATTTACTGGCTGCTGGTACCAAGAGTGTTGATTGTGGAGCCAAGCAAACTAAAGCAGTCTCAATAATCTCTTCACCATCTGTCACCTAAAATTACAGCATATAAGTAAGACTTTTAGTGACCACAAAGGAATCAGTACTAAATGACAGACCACTGACATTTTATAATTGTTGTTGTAATTTGGTGCTCTCGAGTAGAGTAAGACTCATAGCATCGAGTCAAGTATGACTAAAAAAAAAGTTACTGTGAGGTAGCTTAATAGTAAAATAGTTATTTTTAAGAAAATAAGATAATATTTTATTATCAAATTAATAATTATTTTATTATTATTTACTATTATTAATTTTAATGAAATTGTACAGATATTTTGGAAAATGAATAATTATTTTATTATTAAACTACCTCAAAGTATTTTTTTTGTTGCTTTTTATGATTTATCTTCAGAAGTCACCTTAGGGAATGCTCCACATGTGTGGGTCACAGATTTATTGTAACGGCTCCTACCTAGTATTTCTGCGCTCTGCAGGTGTCGCTCCGGAAACATCTCTGCTGTAAAGGTGAACACTGCTGGGGAGGTGAGCACTACAGAAAGGCCGTGAGGCTGCAGAGAAAGAAAATATGCTTAGCGATGGGGTATATTCTCCAGCCTGCACATTCCCAATTCTGAATTACATCACCCTGCACTGCATGCAATCAAGGACTGACAGATACATTTATGGAAATTGTAAGGAATATAAAAAGCAATTAAAGAATTGATGATTTTTACCACCAGCGGGTGATCCACATTGTAATCCTTGGCTTTATAGGTCTTCACTAAACCTGAAATAGGGTAGGACATTCCATGGCTAGAAAAGACAGAAAATCCGCCTGTTGGCACACAGTTACCAGGAATTCAAGTTAACAATAAAAAGACACTTCTATGGGAGAGTTCTCCAGGCTCTCCAACATTACTGCCACCTATCAAAGTTCCAATATTCTGTTTTAGCTCATACAAAAAGAAATTCAGCAATGGATAGTTTAGGTTCATGAGCAAAATCTTAAAAGTGATTGAATTCAAATGCTTATATAATTAGATGTCATTTAAAACTGCTGATCTAGCTGTTTTTTCCTAAACCTATCAGTTAACTGTTTACCTGTGGGAATCAAGAATCTTGAGCTTTGGGGTGTCTGTTTTCTGGTTTGCCCTGACTCTGACTTGACAGCAGGTGCCTGTATAGGCAGACAATGCAGCCGGTGAGGGTTTGACAGGCTGACGGTGCTGCACTGTACACCCTCTCACAGCCCATCTATGATGTGCCCTGCCCACAGCTGATCCATGTTGTTGTTGTTATGTGCCATCAAGTTGCTTGCAACTCATAACGACCCTTTGTATAATAGTCCTGAAACCTGTTCTATCCTGTGCCAACTTTACTGTCTCTGACATACCTACACTCATTACCGCCATCACTGAATCAATCCAGACACAGCTATGATTGAGGAGGTGGGAATGAGCACAGGTTATGATCAGCCAGTATGTTTAACAGGAACAGAAGGCCTGGCAGGGTTGTTGTTGGAGGTGAATAAATATAGGAGACTGTAAGCCTGATATGGCCTTCATCTATTTAAACCAGTTCTGAGGAGAATGCAAAAGAATGCTACAAACATTGAGGGTCTTCCTCTCCTGCACTGTACCTCTACCCTTCCAAGCATGATGTCCCTCTCCAAGGACTGTTCCCTCCTGGCAACATGCCCAAAGTATGTCACATGAAGCCTCAGAATCCTTGCCTCCAAAGAGCAGTCTAGTTTCACCCTCTCTAGGATTAACCTCTTTGTTCTCCTGGCAGTCCATAGTATATTCACATGTTACATACTAATAAAGCAAAACCACACCCGTCATCATTAAGTGGACTCTGAATCCTGGTGACCCATTATGTTTTAGGACAGGACTTAAACCTCTAAGTTTTCCAGGGCTGTAATCCTTCCAGAAACACAGATCCAGAATTGCCTTCCACAGTGCTGCTGGTGGGTTTGAATTGACAATCTTGCAGTTACTTGTTGTTGTATGCCACTGAGTTGGAAATAACCCATAGCTGACCATCCAGTGGGTTTTCAGAGGTAGTAAACTGCAAGGGAGGAGATTGTCTATTCTTCTCTCTCAGAACAGCTGGAGGATTTGAACCACTTGCCTTAGCGATTTTTACAGAACAGCTTCTCATCATTAGGCTACCAGAACTCCAAGCTGCCACAGAGTGCAGCTCCATGGGAAAGAGATGGGCAGCCTTCTCCCATGGGGTTTACAGCCTCGGAAATCTAATGGAGGTCAGCTATGAGTTCATTCTGATTCTATAGCTATGAGAATAAGAATGAACTTATATAAAGTGTCCGGAGACATGGAGTCCCTGGGTGGTGCAAGTGAACACCTTGAAAGAAAGGTCTTGGGATTTAATTCCAAAACATTCACCATGAAAATCCCACAGAGCAGGGGAACACCAGCAGTGAGAGTTACCCTGATGGTAACGAGTCCATCTAGGGAGAGTAGTTCAGTGGTTGTTTAAGACTAGGAGATGGAAGGATTGGCAGATGATGGTTAAATGGCACAGCATTTCTTTTTGTAGTTATAAAAATATATCCTGACATTTACTTTAGTAATTATTACATAATTTCATTAATCTACTTACTAAACCAGAGCTCTGGTAACCTAGGGAATAGAAAGTTGTGCTGCCATCTCAAAGGTGGGCAGGCTTGAATCTGCCAGCTGTTCCTTGGAAGAAAGATGGGCAATCTCCTCCTGTGCAATTTACATCTCTGAAAGCCCACTGGATGGCCGGCAGTAAGGGAGTTCCGACTCAATGGCAGTGCATTTTAATTTGAGGGATATTTTTTTTTAAGTCACTGAAATGTATTGTACGATATGAGCTCTGCACTGTAATCACAAAGGCACATGGTTCAAATCCACCAGCTGCTCCATGGGAGAAGGATGGGCAATCTCCTCCCTTGTGATTTACTGCCTCTGAAAATACATTGGAGGGTCAGCTATGAGTCAGTTCTAATTTGATGGCACACACAACAACATAAAGCAATTTCAGAAAACAAATGCATGATTCAACAGACTACACATAGACTAAAACATATTTGAGACATTGGGTTAAATTTCTTCTTTGCTCAGTTAGGGGCCTTGGTGATGCAGTGGTTAAGCGCTCAGCTGTCAGTGCTTTGACCTCCCTGGCTGCTCTACGGGCACAGGTGGGAGTCTGCTTCCATAAAGATGATGGCCTTGGAGGCCCTAGGAGTTCGTTCTCATCCTCCTGCCTGAGGTGCTATGAGTTAGAATTGACTTGATGGCAACATGGCGGCGACAGCAGCATACTCTGTCATCCATAGGGCTGCTGCTGCATCAGAACCAACTTTCTAAGTCAGAACCATTTTATTTTTAAATTTAAAAAAACAATAGTTTGGGGAGAGAAAATGCAAATCAGCTCACCACAGATGCACACCAGCATTTCCAAAGCCAATGCCAGCAAAAGCACTTGCCAAGTGCATGTTTGACCTCGCTTCAAGGTCATCAGGATTCTTGACAGCTCTGTGAATGACATAAATCATTCATAACATATCAACGTTAGCATTTCATACTGAATAAAGAGCTGCCATAGGGAAAGACCTGGGGATAAAGAATGATACTCTGTAGGGAAGAAAAATTACGCAAGTAATTAAAATGACTTCCTGTCTTCTGAATGAAAACCAAAGGCCAACATATTTTCCCATCAATGGTTTCAGCAAAGGCTTAACAAATAGGCTGCCAGGCTGCTCATGTGATAGAAAGGTGCCAGGGGAGCAAAACACTGACCTCTGGATGGTGAGAGTTGTTGTTGTTGTTGTTGTTGTTATGTGCCGTCGAGTCGTTTGCGACTCACAGTGACCCTATGCACAACAGCCCTAAACCCTGCTCTATCCTGTGCCAACCGCACTGCCTCTGACACACCCATCCCGATTACCCCAGTCACCGAATCAATCCATCTCATAGAGGGTCTTCCCCTCCTGCGCCGTCCCTCCACCCTCCCAAGCATGATGTCCCTCTCCAAGGACCCGTCCCTCCTGGCAACATGTCCAAAGTATGTCAGACGAAGCCCCAGAAGCCTTGCCTCCAAGGAGCAGCTTGGTTTAATCCTCTCCAAGATGGATCTGTTTGTTTTCCTGGCAGTCCATGGTACATTCAATACTCTTCTCCAGCACCACAGCTCAAAGGCATCAATTCTCCTTCTGAGTAGCCCCAGAAAAATACCCTGGGACTCATTCTTCTTCTTCACTTGTCAGTGACCATGACTCAGGCTGTGAAAGGATTAAAAGTAAATACACTCACAGAAAGCACCAGCCATGCATGACCGGCTCTCTGACCTGTGCGCTGTCACTGGGGCTACCTGCAGGACAAAATGCAGCCAGGCAGCTCAAATCAAAACCTGGGGCCTCTTTTGGTGCCTGTGTGACGTGCACACATATTCTAATATTTACTATTGTGGAAGGTGATGTTGGTACAGGACAGGCTTCTGTTTACCGTATATATCCCCAATGCCGCTTGACAAAAGCAAATTCTGAAAAGTGTCTTTCAGATTCAGCTCACCCTGCTTGGAATCACTCCCCTGAGATGAGACCGATTCTTGCATGCCTTCTCTCTGTGATGATGCAAAGGGCTTATCTTAAAAAAGTGCTTCACCTTTTATTCTCTGCTCTCATTTTAAAATTGTTAGGCCTTTGTGCTTCCTTCCCAAAGTGCAATGTTATTTTGCTTTCTCCTCAGAACCGGTTTAAACAGATGAAGGCAATAACAGGCTTACAGTCTTCTATTTTATGTCTTCACCTCCAACAACAGCCCTGCCAGGCCTTCTGTTCCTGTTAAACATACTGGCTGATCATCACCTGTGCTCATTCCCACCTCCTCAATCACAGCTGTGTATAGTGGTCTTCATGCTCCCCCTTCTTGTCTATGAATTGCATTTTCGAGTCCTCCTTTTCAGGTGAACCTTGGATCTTTTTTTAAAAAAATTGAAATTTATTATTAATTTCAGTAAAAATTTAAGAGACTTTATATTTCCATTCATTCATTGTTGCACTTTTCTCCCCTCCCAACCCTCCCCCCTAGTATACTACCTACCCTTTTGGAAAAGTAAAAGGAAAATTCTTCCATTGTTTTACAAATCCTCCCCCCACTGCCCCCCCCAGGTCCACTCCACCATGCATCCTTTGCTCTGGACTCCTGTCATGACAAAAATACCTAATCACA